CACACACACACACACACACACACACACACACACACACACACACACACACACACACACACACTCGCGCACGCACGCATACACACACACACACACACGCACAATTAATCAATCAATCAACTAATCAGAGTCAATCAATCAATCAATCAATCAGTGTGTCTAGCAAAAAGAAAAAGAAAAAAGAAAAAAAAATGGCTTTGATTTTTCTTTTCATTATTTATCTTTTTTTTTTTTCCTTTCATATTTGCATACGCAAAGAATCAAAGAAAAATGAGCACAATGATTATCCCACCAGCAATCAGAAAAAAGAAAAAAAAAGTTCCATTTTTTTTAATTATATTTATTTTGATTTTAATACTTGTTTTTTTTCGTTTTCTATTTTTTAAAAATAACAAGAAACATTAAAAATATATATATATATGGGGATGTAGGGTTTTGAAAACCCTAAAACCCATTTTTTGTTTTGTTTTTTTTGGCCAATCATCCTCGGAGTTAAAAATGTTGCGGTCGTCACACCTCACTCAGCCACGTGCGGTCGGGATCCTGACCGCGTGCGATAAAATGGCCCACGGTCATGACCGCGGGTGATACATAGACTACGGGCACCCTACCTGGCCAAAACATTGGGTTGTATACATTGCCCAAACTGCAATTTGAAACTGTATGTTGGCCCATTGTGCAATTATAACTCGTTTTGTGACTCCCGCATACAATAGAGTAAAAAAAACGAGTTATAATTGCACTATGGGGCAAGGTACAGTTTGCAATTGCACTGTGGGCACCCTACCTGGCCAGAAAGGTGGGTTGTATACATTGCCCGAACTGCAATTCCAAACTGGCCCATAGTGCAATTATAACTCATTTTTGCGACTCCCGCCTAGTTTCCCCGCCAGAAATAAAAAAGTGTATCAGCAATCAAGAAGCGCCTATCTTGGTCGATACCCCCTGTCTGTGTAGTTGAGTTTGAGAGCTCTATGCTTGTCTTCTGGGTGTGGGTGGGTTCACTGTTGTGGTAGGGTGGGCTGAATTCGGTGCGTCCAACCTCCTACCAGACACCTCCCTCCTCACTCTCCCCGACACACCCCTCCCTCACAACCTTCCAAAAAAGAAAGAAAAATGACTCACTGCCGACTGTGTGGTACTGCCAGAGAGAGTAGCGAGTTCTTTGTGCTTGACTCAGTGTTTCTCCTTGTTAATCAACTTTTTTTTTTTTTTTCTTAGGGGCTTGTTAGACACTCCTTGGGCTGTCCTCGGGGCCCAAACAAGTTTCGTTGGGGGTGTTGAAGGAAATTTCGGCCATCGTTCCACCTATCCTTGGGGTGGTCTCCCAAGGATGATTCCTTTTGGCCGCCGCCGACCATTTTCATAATATTATAGCCAGCTGCAGGGGGGGCAATGCCTTGGTCTATTGGGTGATGCCCGTCTTGCTACGGTGCGGTCCAGCTGCTGAGGGCGGGAAATTTTGAAAGGCACTGGTGATCGGACCCCCCCCCCCCCCCCCCTTAAGAAGCAATGGACTTCCTCGTTGGAAAATCAAATTTCAAATTGGGTGCTGGACGTCACGACGGCGATGCGGGGCTATGACACTGCTTGAGCGCGCGTGAGCGTGAGTGCGCGCACTTAAAGATCCTCCCCCTCGCTCAAACACGCTCAAACCGCTTTAAGGCACACAAGCTCGTCAAAAAAAGAGCGCGCGCGCGTCATGGGGTTGCACGAGGGCAGGGGATGTCATGGGGCGGTTGCGCATAAAGGCTGGGGGAGGAAGGTGGTGGTGTGTGTGTGCTGTCTCTTATACACATCTAGATGTGTATAAGAGACAGGGTTAGTCTTACTACGAACCCCCTCCTCAGTACC